CTTGGGCAAGCCATAGTTCTGGCACAGCTGTTCTTGCAAAAGAGCAGTCTCTTATTTCCCTTCCCCTTTTCGATTCTTATTTAGCCACAGTTTGGCGGTTCTAAGCCTCGAGCAGATTTGCTGCCCTCGCCCTCCCGAATGACGGCCTAATCGGCAGCTGCACGCTTGCCCTCAGATAAGTTTATTGGCTGTTTAATCTTGTCCCCCTCCGATGGTTTCAGGAGGAGGTGGCGCTTGAGCTGGAACTCCTCCAGGCAGGATAATATCACCCAACACTCCCCTGAAGATCTTGCCACCTCCAGATCGGGGCTGTAAGTGGCTACTAATTCCTCGATAATTTCTTTTCCCAGCCTCGTTTCCCTGCCCTTCACACTATCGCCGTCGCTTTGCAGATGAAGTGTCTGGCGAAGGATGCCAGAAACCCGGCGGGGCTTTGGATTAGGTTCCCGCTAGGCCCCTCGGAAAACTGTGCACCGAGACAGCTGTGGCCTCCGACATCGTCTTATCGCCGTCCAATCGGCTCGCGAACGGCAGTCGTGAAATTCAGCAGAGCTTTCGTGCTGAGTGCCCCGATCTGTACCCAGGCTGGGATCTAGCCCAAATAATACCTCTAGGAGGAAAAATGCCATGCGGAGACCAAAGATTGCTTGTCTAATAGGAAGGGGTGCGGGGAGAGATTATAGCAATTTGAGAACGCGCCACGGCTCTGTGGACAGAGCGTAACCCCCATTCTAGCCTCCTTGGACAGGAGAATCAGCCGTTACATGGAAAGGGACTACGACAGGTTCATGTTGCCTTCCACTGGAAACAGGGAAGAAGGTATTTAGCCAGGTGCACAATTATCAGTATATAGCAGTGATGGCGAACCTTTTAGAGACCGAGTGCCCAAACTGCGACCCAAAACCCACTTATTCATCACAAAGTGCCAACACGGCAATTTAACCTGAATACTGAGGTTTTACTTTAGAAAAAACAACTCATACATTCACTTAAGATGATCCAAACAAAGTAAGGAAAGCAATCCCAAATGCTTTCATTTACTTAAAATTAGTTGGCAGAGAATTCAACACTTTAATGATGGTCTGGGCCTGGCTGGGGCGATGGCACGCGTGCCCACAGAGAGGGCTCTGAGTGCTGCCTCTGGCACCCATGCCATAGGTTCGCCACCAATGGTATATAGGATTAAATGACCATTTGTGGAAGCAAAAGTGCTGTTGTTACCATCTGGGCTCTTATCTGTCTTTTTAAAGTATGATTTCAGGAGGGTAGACCTGTTGGGCCTGCAATAGAACAGCTAGATCCAAGTCCAGTAGCACCTGAGAGACCAACATGTGTGTGTGTATAATTAATAATAATTATCATATGGCCTTGTGTGCAGAATAGCCAGGAGCAGTGTTCCCTCTAAACTGAGTTAGTATGAGCTAGCTCACAGTTTTTTACCCTCTGGCTCTCACATTTTTGTCTTCGCTCAGGAAGGATGGCTCCAGAGCAAACTATTTTAGGCAGCAGCCAAATCGCTCGTTCATCACTTTAATGCCAGTAGCTCACAAAGTAGAATTTTTGCTCACAAGACCCCACAGCTTAGACGGAGAATTGGCCAGGACATCCTAAGATTGTCCGGCAGCCAGAAGTTCTAGCTCTTTTAGTGTTATGCACCACCAGGTGGTGAACAAGATTTGTTTTTAAGGCAAGGGACATTGAGAGGTGGCTTTTCAGTTTGGTGTAGTGGTTAAATGTGCGGACTCTCTAATCTGAGAGAACTGAGTTTGATTCCCCACTCCTCCACTTGCAGCTGGTGGATGACCTTGGGCAAGCCACAGTTCTGACAAGAGCTGTCCTTGAAAGGGCAGTTCTTGAAAGAGCTCTCTCAGCCCCACCTCCCTCACAGGGTGTCTGTTGTGGGGAGGGGAAGGGAAAGGAGATTGTAAGCCGCTCTGAGACTCCCTCAGGTAGTGAAGGGCGGGGTATAAATCCAATCTCTTCTTCTTCTTCTTCTTCTTCATTGCCCGCCTCATGTCACAGCCCTGCTATTCCTTGGAGGCCGCCCTTCCAAATACCAGCCAAGACTGACTCTGCTTAGCGTCCGATTGAAAGGTTATACTTGTTAGCTAAGAGCTTTGGAAGAAGGCGTCTGAATTCAAGAATATCCCGCAGTTATTTTATTGTACATGGAAACAGAATTGAGACCTGTATGATAAAGAGTCATTGAAACGAACGGTAACTTGAGAAGTTCGTCCGTTCATCTTGATGTCATCATCCTTTGTTTGATGGTGCCTTGCTGTTAAGAACAAAGATTAAACATCATGAAGCTCATCAGTATTATAGCTTAATCATTGTCTATTATTCTTACAGTTGTGTGCACTTTGCAGCAACTGTTCTGTATATTGTAGCTTTCGAAATCTGACGGGATCGGGGTAGCCTGGGCCATCCAGGTCAGGACTTGCCAGTGGCTTATGAAATGCGAGACAGCCCATGGGACGTGGGGTGCACATTCTCCTCTGTAGTACAAGGCGGGCATGCTTTCTAGCAGCACATGTCCTGTATGGACTGAGACCACTTATTGGGTGATCTCTGCATTGGTATTAGGCTTGGTCGATGCATACAGCAGAAGAGTGCAGGTGTGTGACTAAGGTCACCAACTCCGGCTTGGGAAATTCCTGGAGATTTGGAAGTGGTGCCCAAGGGGGGGGGTTAGTTTGAAGAGGGGAGGGGGCTCAGCAAGGACATGCTGCCATAGTGTTTACCTTCTACAGCTGGTGTTTCCTCCTCTCTGTTATCTGGAGATGAGTCGTAATCCTGCCTGGAAGTTGGCAACTCTAGATAGAATAGACCAGGGGTGTCGAACTCAGTTGTTACGAGGGCCAGATCTGAGATAAATGAGACCTTGTTGGGCCGGGCCACGTGTGTCATAAAATGTAATGCCAGGTAGCGGAGAGATAAACTTTATATAAAGGACACCAACACAAAGGGGTTTTTTAAACTTTAAAAACATGCTTAAAGTATTAGCACTCTTGCAACATTTTGTTTATTTAACAGTGTCTGATCACTGACACCCCTTGCTCTGAATGACTGCTTCAAAATGTCTGTGCTGTTGCAATCTCAAGTAGGCTGTTCAGGTGTGTATCTGTAAGCTGCAAACCTACGATAACGCAGCAGCAGCAGAACTGGAAGAAGAAGCAGAAGACAGCCAGTTCTACTGCAGGCCTGATGGAAGCCCTCCTGGGGCCTGATCCAGCCCCCGGGCCGCATGTTTGACACCCCTGGAATAGACCACACTGTTGCAGACTGCAAGGAGGAGGGAACATCACAGTTTAGCCCTGACCTGGATAGCCCAGACTAGCCCAATCTTGTCAGATCTCAGAAGCTAAGCAGGCTTGGCCCTGGTTAGTATTTGGATGGGAGACCTCCAAGGAAGTCCAGGGTCACTACACAGAGCCAGGCAATGGCAAAGGCCACCTTTGTTCGTTTCTTGTCTTGAAAACCTTACAGGATCACCGTAAATCAGCTGTGACTTGATTGCAAAAAAAGAAGAAAGAATGCAGCCTAGGAGGGAAAGCAGTACTGCTTGAACAGTTTCTCTGATATGCTGGTCCTCTGTTTCCAGTTTGGTGTAGTGGTTAAGTGCGCAAACTCTAATCTGGGAGAACCAGGTTTGATTCCCCACTCCTCCACTTGCACCTGCTGGGTGACCTTGGGTCAATCACAAGTTCTCTCAGAGCTGTTCTCTCAAGGGCAGTCCTCGAAAGAGCTCTCTCAGGGGCCCCCCACCTCACAGGATGTCTGTTGTAGGGAGGGGAAGGGAAAGGAGTTTGTAAGCTGCTCTGAGACTCTGAGTGAAGGGTGGGGTATAAATCCAATCTCTTCTTCCTCTTCCTCTTCTTCTTCTTCCTCTTCTTCTTTTTCCCCATGGGCATCAAAAGTGGCTGAAGCCCGGTCCACCACTTCACAGTTCTGCCATCTCACTCCTTGTTTTTGTAGCATCATTTGCATAATGTATCACATCTGGGAAGCTAAGCAGGGTCTGACCTGGTTAGTCTTTGGATGGGAGACCCCCAAGGAAGCCCAGGGTCACGACACAGAGGCAGGCAACGGCAAACTAGTTCTGGTTCCCTCCTGCCTTGAACCCCTCGCAGGGTTGCCATAAGTCAGCTACGACTTGAGGGCAAGATGAACTAATTAAAAAGTGGGACCGTTCTTATGTGCAATTTATATGGTATGTACCATGTATATAAACGTTGATTTTTAAGGGGACAATTAAGCGTTGAAAGGGGTATACATCTTATCGTTTGGTGCAGGGAAACCAAAGGGTGTGAAAATGAAGAATCTCGGGTTCAGTTTGCACGAGAAAAAAATAAAATAAACGTGGGCACTTGGGGATGGAAACTGGGATTCTCTTAGGGTAGACTTAGATCAGATCAGCATGCCCAACTTCCAATTGAGGAACAGAGGCACCACACAAAAGCCAGATTTTGCATGTCCATCTCCCTTGGTAGATTAGGGCTTTTTATTTAAATTCTTCTTTATTCCCCTTCTAACGTATTTAATTAGAGTATGGTTTCCTTTTTTCCCCGCAAGTAAATCTTGGAATTGTTGTGAATTTCCCCAAGAGGTGCATTCTACAGGTAGAGACCAACTCAAGCAACGATCAAAAAACAAATATCTTTCTTTCTAGATTAGAGTGGATTTTGCACCGGCACAATTGACCATTCTCAAATGCCAGCGTTAAGCCAGCTTTTGTTTAAAAACAAAATCTATTAAGAGCTCTTTGGGAAGCACTAATCAAAGACGCCGGTGAATGAAAACAGCCGTCCAAATAACGGACTTTGTGGTCTCACACCGGTCGAAATCCACAGGGTGTGACTTTGTGGTTTTCTTGAGCGCGAAATATTTCCCCCCCACATAATATTGCACATAAAGCTCGGAGTAATAAAGTCGCCATTACCAACCAGCGCTTATTATGATTGCTCTAATTATCCATACGTTTCTTTTCTTTTTCCTAGGCAACATTCAAAGGTTGGATGGAAATTATGTACGCTGCGGTGGATTCGCGAGAGGTGGGCTGTGACGCTCAGACACGTTTTATCTTCTGCCTGGCATTAGTCTCCCTTTACGCTTTGAAGCAACTGTGGGCACAACCCATCAAGATGTTTCCCTGCATTAGCTCCCCCCTCCAAAAAAATCTTAGCGTTCAGCAAGCTAGTTGTGATTTGGGGGGAGTGGGTGGAGATAAGGTTGCCACGCAATGCTCCCTCTAAGCTGTGGGGTCTTGTGAGCAAAAATCGGACTTTGTGAGCTACTGGCATTAAAGCTGTGAGCAGGTGATTTGGCGACTGCATACATGAGTTTGCTCTGGAGCCCTCCTTCCTGAGCTGAGACCGAAATGTGTGAGCCGGAGGCTAAAAAACTGTGGGCTAGCTCACGCTAACTCAGCTTAGAGGGAACACTGGTTGCCAGCCCCCCCCTCCCAACCACCTGCAGGGGATGGGGGTCATGGGGGCCCTGGATCCATACTGGGAAACTCCTGGAGATTTGGGGATGGAGCTTCGGGAAGACAGGGACCTCAGCAGGGTACAACACCACAGAGTCCGCTCTCCAAAGCTGCAATTTCCCCCCAGCGGAAATGGTCTCTGTAACCTGGAGATGAGCTGTGATTCCAGGGGATCCCCAGGTCCCACCTGGAGGCCAGCATCCCTAGGGGGAGGATAAATTCCTACTTTGGATGCAATAAAAGCTCCCAAAGAAGTTAGTTGCGCTTTAGTACCGCTGAAATGAATGGGGTTTGCATTCCCTTACTCTGGGTTTGATGCCGGATCGGGATCTTTGCGTTTGTACGAGCCGGATGCAGGACTGAACACGGCTAGACTTTGAGATGTCTTTCTTCCTTTCATTTCTGACTTGCTTGTCCCCCAAACCGGAGATCTTAACCTGCTTAATAGCAGCAGGAGGCTGTATCATATCTGAGTCAGACATAAGAGGGGGCTCACGAAGGAGATAGTTGTTACTAATATATCAAAATCCTT